TGACTTAGCCTAATTCACTATTTCAAGGTCAAGAAATGCCATGTTGACAATAAAAATAACCAATAATCATATTGGAACTTTGCAACAGAAATGCTTGAGATTACAAGTCAATACAGCAACACCTTCCAAAACTATGTGAAGGAACTTCCTTGGTGTCCCAGTGGCTAAGCCTCCTCCTTCCCAATGTAGAGGTCCCGAGTTCCATCCCTAGTCAAGGAACTAGATCCCACATGCTCTAACTAACTGTTCACATGTCAAAACTAAGACCCAGTACAGGCTAATACTAAAAAAATAAAAAAATAAAAAAAAATAACCTTTGGGAAAATTATGCCTCACATATACTGCAGTACTGAGCAAAATTATTAATCAATTATGAATGTGAAATACTAATATTTGTAGATACTGAAAATCTCCGAAATGTACCTCTTTTCTGAAGACAGTCCTGAAGACTGTGCCCGACCCAAAGAGAAGCAATGGCTGGTAAAGATATAGGAATGCCAAGATGACAGAGAAGTGAAAGGGATTCTAAGAGTTACTGTGAAGAAAAATATTGGGGTGGAAGGTATATAGCATGTCTGGGGAGAACCAGCCCAGTGGTTCAGGATGACGCGGGGATTCAAATGTTGCTGAGGACACAGGTTTGATTCTATGCAAGAGGCTGTTGTCTAGTCCACAACAGCCTTCGTCATAAGGGCTTCCTGGGTGGCTCAGTGGTATAAAGAATCCACTTGCCATGCAGGAGACGTGGGTTTGATCCCTGGATCAGGAAGATGAAGCCCACTCCAGCATTCTTGCCTGGGAAATCCCATGGACAGAGGAGCCTGGTGGGCTACAGTCCATGGGGTTGCAAAAGACTCGGACATGACTTTGCATCTAAACAGCAGCAGCCTTTGTCATCTCTGTATTCCCAAGTTCAGCGGAGCACAGTAGCAGGCTCTGAGCAGAAGTGCAGTCAGTGTATACAGAGTTAAGTCCGTATCCGATAAGTAGGTGAGTGGCCAAATGACCAGGCTCCACATAGTGTAAGAAGAGAGGGGTTGTGACTCTTCTTGTACCTGTAATTCTATCCAGGCAGCGTCCAGAAAGAAAACATGAAAAAAGAAAAAAAAACAATGCTACAAAGACACTCACAAACCATTCATCAAAGACTGTTTTTACAAACACAGAAATAAATTAGCTCCCTAATCGATTCTCAAAAGATGCAATTTGCTGCTAAAACATCATGCCCTTATAATGAGATGGTGGTCACAGTTGAAGTAATTGTGTCTCTCCACAGAATAAAATCGTTTCTGTCATGGAAATCAAACAAAATGCCACAAGATGTGCGTGTTCACTGAGACTGAACTTCCCGGAATACCTTTCCTGAGACATCACTGGTGCTTTAACAGCTGCTTCATCTCCGCCGTATAATTATTCATTACAGAGATGGAATATCACTGATAGAAATCGTTTCTGGACGTTAACAGGGAAATTACGTGCAAAGTTCTTCCAGTTGGTATGAGTTATTGTGACAACTGTCTGATTTTTTTTTTAATGGGTAGAAGGGAACGTTGAGTGGTGATAAAAAAGCACGCTTGTTTATGTGGAGTTCCGTGCCCGTCTCGTCTTAGCAGTGGGAGCAGAACTGTTAATGCTCTATCTTTCCCCTCTTTGGTTCACATCTTAAACGCACTGACCAGGGAAACTGAGTCTCCATTTATTTTTATAGACTCATGTGCTTGAGCTCAGTCGCCCAGCTGTGTCTGACTCTTTGCATCCTTTTGCACCGTAGCCCCGCCAGGCTCCTCTGTCCATGGGATCTCTCCAGGCAAGAATACTGCAGTGGGTTGCCACGCCCTCCTCCTGGGGCATCTTTCCCGACGACCCAGGGATCGAACTCACGTCTCCTGCATCGGCAGGTGGGTCCTTTACCACTGAGCCACCAGGGAAACCCTGTACAAAGGGGACGGATATCGAGCTGACCTTAGGGGACAAATAACTGACAGATAACTACCTGACCTTCGGGGAACTAACTCACAGGCTAGTTACGCACCACTATACATACTGCATGCACCACTATCCACACAGGAAAGGGCAGTGAACCATTAGTTTGAGAAGCATCACTCCAACAGATTTTATCTTTTAAAATAAAAATCTTACTGGAGGATAGTTGCTTTCCAATGTCGTGTTAGTTTCTGCTACCCAGCAGAGTGAGTCAGCTACACGTGTACATATATCTCCCGTTTTTTTGGATTTCCTCCCCATGTAGGTCACCTCAGAGGACTGAGTAAAGTTCTCTGTGCTGGACATCAGGTTCTAATGAGTGATCCGTTTCATTCATAGCATCAATATCGTCTGTGTGTCAGTGACAACCTCCCAGTTCGTCCCACTCTCCTCCTGAGAGAGTCATTTCCTAGGCAGGTTGATAAGAAGTCTGGGGTCCCCAGGGAGAGGGAGGTCTGGAATAGTCAGGGAGGAAGAAAGGACAAACTTTTTACTTCTTCCTCTACATTCCTTAGGATTATGCAACGGTGATGTATCCTGCCCGAGGACAGTCTCTGGATTAAACCTTCTGGCTAATTCTGTTATCTTAAAACATAAATTATGGGAGTAGGTCTGGTCTTTACAAGGATGTAGTGTATATGTGTGTGTGTGTGTGTGTGTGTGTGTGTGTATATACATGTGTATATATATATGTATGTGTGTGTGTATATATACATACACACCACAGCTTCTTTATCCGTTCATCTTTCAATGGACATTGAGATTGTTTCCATGTCTTAGCTATTCTAAGTAGTGCTCTAATGAACATAGCGGTGCCTGTGTCTCTTTGAACTAAGATTTCCTCTGGCTATCTGCCCAATAGTGAGATTTCTAGGTTATACTATTGTTCTGTTATTTTTTTTTTTAGTTTTTAAGGAAACTCCATATTTTTCCCCATAGTGGCTATAACTTTTTTGAATATGTCGCAAAATGTGTCTCCATTTAAAAAAGATGTTCTTGACGTCTCTTAACAGCTCTTTCAGTTTGCTTAAATTCAAAAGACTGGGACATACTTGGTGGAAAGCGTGGCTGCCTATCCTCGGGCCACGGAGGAGGTCACGTTTCAGACAGCCGGGAAGGTGGTGAAGAGGCAGTCACGTGGCTTTCTGGGGAAGAGCTTTCTGAGCCAGCAGCCCACGTCCATGCCTTGGATGGGCGACTGGAGCATCCAGGTAGGTCCTGAGTCTTGGTCTGAGTGCAGCTGACACTGAGTAAGATGAAGAAAGCTTAAGAAGAATGCAAGAGAAGCAAGGACTTTTTTTCCATGCGTGCGTGTGTGTGAAGGTTTGGTTGCAGACTGAGTTTTGCATTGCCAACAGCACCACAGATGTCAATGGGGACCTAGAAAAGCCCATTGTCAGTACAGAGATGTGAAGAAATCCTGCCTTAAGAGGAAAATGGAAAAGAAGAACTGAAGGACGAGAAAGTGAATCTTATTTTTCCTGAGGTGTTTTAATGCCAGGAGGGAGCTTTGGGGGCAGTCCCTGAAAGAGAAGACGGAAATAGAGATTTATGTTTTCCGTCCTTGGTGGTGGGTAATGCTGGGAGACACATAGCCTACTTCCATTTAATTTTCTTTTAAACCTTTTCATTTTGTACTGGGATACAGCCAATTAAGAATGCTGTGATGGTTTCAGGTGAACATCAAAGGAACTCAGCAATACATATACATGTATCAATTCTCCCCCCAAACTCCCCTCCCATCCAGGCTGGCTCCTAACATTGAGCCAGCCTCAATGTTGCTGGTTCTCCATGTTAAATCCAGCAGTGTGTCCACGTCCATCCCAGACTCCCTGACTGTCCCTTCTCCCCATCCTTCCCCCTGGTGACCATCAGGTTATTACAGAGTATTGAGCAGAATTTCCTTCTCAGTACTATCCCTTCCTCCCATCCTTCCCCCCTCACCACCATGAGATCATTCTCTCAAGTCTGGGAGTGTCTGTTTTGTGAGAAGGTCATTTGTATCATCATGTCTTTTTAGAGTCCGTATGTAAAGCGTGTCATATGATAATTCTCTTTCTGTATCTGACTTAATTCACTCAGTAGGACAATCTCCAGGCCCACCCATGTTGCTGCAGATGGCATTATTTCATTCTTTGTAACGAGACATAGCCTACTCCTGCCTGGAAGGGTTTCGTTCAGCCATGGCTATGGATAAAATGATTGAGAGAGGGGGGATAATTGTGGGGGTGGCAAATAAGTCCATCCTGGGGACCTCTTTGGGTGGTGTGCGGCTACAAGACGGAAGGGTGGATGTGTAGGCTTGAAGACTGGTATTAATAAGTAGGGAGATTGCCAGGCGAAGCTTGTGGAATCTTTGCACTGAGAGCGTGTGTTTGCCACTGAGGTATGACTGTCATGAACTGAGACCCAGGCTGGAGAGAAGGAATGTCGCCATAGGAACCTGCAGGAGAGAGGACAAGGTCGGATCTCCAGGTCCCCTGCCGTTCGGAAATGTGGTCTGAAGAACAGCAGCATCAATAGGAGCCGGGAGTTACTTACTTATCACCACCCTCTTTGGCTTCCCAGGTGAAAAGAAAGTGAAGTCGCTCAGTCGTGTCCGACTCTTTGCGACCCCAGGGACTGTAGCCTGCCAGGCTCCTCTGTCCATGGCATTTTCCAGGCAAGCGTCCTGGAGTGGGCTGCCATATCCTTCTCCAAGAGATCTTCCTGGCCCAGGGGTCGAACACGCGTCTCCCGCATTGCAGGCAGATGCTTTACCATCTGAGCCACCAGGTAAGCCAGTGGTAAAGAAGCCGGCTGCCAGCGAGACACAGGTTCGATCCTTGGGTGGGGAAGATCCCCTGGAGGAGGGCATGGGCAACCCACTCCAGTATTCTTGCCTGGAGAATGTCCATGGACAGAGGAGCCTGGCGAGCTACAGTCCCTGGGGTCGCAGAGAGTCGGACAGGACTGAGCAACTTAGCATGCTAGCACACAGCCTCCCAGGCGGTCAACACGCCAGAATCTGCACTTCCTCACCATGTCTGGGTGAGTTCTAAGCCGGCTCTTCTCAGACTTGCATACCCGATTCCACAGTCTGGATGCCCAGACCACTCCAGGTTATTCCCCGTGAGAATGTTTCGATGGTGAGATCCCAGGGTCGGTATGCTCGCCAGGCCCCCAGAGGACCGTCGCGTGAAACCAGTTGTGATGACGGAGGGTTCTGGGTATGCAGGCAAGTGAATGAGCGCGGGGAAAGCCCACGGAGGGGAATGACCCTGGCTTTCAACGGACCATTCTGCCGCACTGTGGGTTTTCTGCGGCTGGAGAGCAGAATACACAATCACATGGACTGAACGGGACTTGAGGTTTCTGCCGAGTAACTGAGAACAGGGTGGGGGTGGGATTCCACTTGCTCCTTGGCATTCTCTCTCCCCTTCCCAGGGGAATAGCTCCATTTGTAGCTGTTCTGCTCTTTAGTTTTCTGAAGAAGATAAAAAAGGACTTTTTTTTTTCTTTTCCAAAGTTGAATATACTGCTTTGAGCTCTGCTTTCTCCTCTGTATCCATCGGATTTTCCAATCAGAGATATGCAAACCTCTGATAATATAGTGGAATACCCCTGTCCTCTGTGTGTGTCTATTACATGTAGTCAGGGGACTGATTTTATTTTCTGTTTGAACTTGAAGGAACTCAAAACCTCATCAGTAAATCTATGTGACCCCAGGGCCTTGACCATTATCCCCTCCCCCCCACCACCTTTTGGTTTTATTTCCCTCCACCCCCCCTTTTTTTTTTAAATTTGCACATCTGTGTCTCTTTTTCTGTTTTGCATACAGGGTTATCGTTACCATCTTTCTAAATTCCATATATATGTGTTAGTATACTGTAATGGTCTTTACCTTTCTGGCTTACTTCGCTCTGTATAATGGGCTCCAGTTTCATCCTTCTCATTAGAACTGATTCAAATGAGTTCTTTTTAACGGCTGAGTAATATTCCATGGTGTATATGTACCACAGCTTCCTCATCCATTCGACTGCTGATGGGCATCTAGGTTGCAGACTTTTGGACTCTGTGGGAGAAGGTGAGGGTGGGATGTTTCGAAAGAACAGCATCGAAACATGTATATTATCTAGGGTGAAGCAGATCACCAGCCCAAGTGGGATGCATGAGACAAGTGCTCAGGCCTGGTGCACTGGGAAGACCCAGAGGGATTGGGTAGAGAGGGAGGTGGGAGGGGGGATCGGGATGGGGAATACGTGTAAATCCATGGCTGATTCATGTCAATGTATGACAAAAACCAAATTACTTTGGTTTTGACAAAAAAACAAATTACAAAAAAGCAAAAACTAATTACTTTACAATACTGTAATTAGCCTCCAAATAATAAAAATAAATGGAAAAAAATAAATAAGAAAAAATAAAATTTGCACAGATTTCCCACTTCCTCTAGAAACCTCCAGTTAATTTTGGTCATTTATATTTTTCAAGGACATTCTCCACTTTGTTAAGATTTCGCAGTTTATCCATAGGGGTGTGTGTATCGTACTGCCTTGTAAATCTTTGAATCTGATCTCTGGGTCTGCCCTGGTCACACTTTCATGCCTAATTTCGTTGCTGCCCTCTTCTGCCTTTTTTTGGGCCTTCTCGTTGAGTTTTGCAGAGCCTTGTCTGTTTTCCTGATCGATTCAAAGATGGATTTCCCGGGTTTACAGGCATTCAGATTTCTCTTTCGTTTTTATGAAATTTTTTAAAATTATATATAGCATCTTTCTACTACCCAAAGTACAGTGTACATGTAGGAACAAGGAGTGACCAGCAGTTATTAGAGAGTGCTGTGTGACATTTGATCGCTGTCTGTGTGTGTGTGTGTGTGTGTGTGTGTGGCCACGTGGCATGTGGGATCTTAGGTCCCCAAACCAGAGATAGAAGCCATGCCCCCTGCATTAGAAGGGGAAGTCTTCACCACTAGACCACCAGGGAGGCCCCTGTTTCCTATGCTTGTATGTACAGATACCATCCACCCAAGTGCAGTCGCTCAGTCGTGTCCAACTCTTTGCGACCCCATGGACTGTGTAGCCTACCAGGCTCCTCCGTCCATGGGATTTTCCAATCCGCCTACGTGTTTGTGAATTAGCCTCACAGTATCTGCTGCCTTAACCACCTTGTGTTGGCTTATTCTCGCTTCAACAGCAGAGAAAGTGATGGAGACGGAGAGGAGCGTCAGGCAGCCTGGAACTCAAATTTTCAGCCTCTAATTTTGCTTTGTAACAAGAAACACATCTCTTACCCACTCTGCAAGGCGTCCCTACCACCCCACTCAAGTATTTTCCGTGGAAGACTTCTAAGGGTATTTCAATTCCTGTTTTCGGGGAGGGGGAGGATTTGGTTTGCTCCTGTTGAATGTGATGATGGTAGACTTGTTATTACTATATTGTCATCAAAGTGTGTGTGTGTGTATGCTCGGATCAAAGAATATTTTCAGAATTATTTCTTTCTAAAAATGAGTTGAAAAAATAACTATAACATTCTTTACCACCTAATGCATCATCCTTTTGATGAATCTATGCGCATACACTTGCAAAAACGGAAACTATATTTTCTGCTTCAAAGGCCGACAAGTTAATTTTTATCTATTAACAAAGATTATTGATCACTGTGTACGTATTCTCTACATTTTCATTTATTTCTGTGGACTCATTCTGTCAAAGGCTAGGAAGGCAAACAGGATCTTTGCATTTCAGAATACACTTTGTGAGTACATTTCAAATGTATTCGGATGCGTTGTCATTCATCTCATACATATGCATGACTGTGATACTTCCATTGACATTTTAACTTAATTGATGAGTGCTTTCAAATTTTGTCCTTGACATATTTCAGTATCAAATGTTTCAGCAAATCAAGCCTCCTTCCAGCTAAGAGACTTTCTTAAAACTTCTGTTTGTGCAGATGATATGGGTAAAGACTTGGATCATTCACTCTGTGAATTTTAAAAAAGATTTTAAGAAAGATAAAAAATATAAACTCCGCTCTTAGTACTACCTTGATGAATCCCATAGGTTCTGAGTGCTCGAGTTTTGTCATTCGCTTCCAGGTATTTTTATTCTTCCTCTCTGATATCTCTGTGGCCCTTTGATTATTCAGAAGCATATTATACAACCTCCGTGTGTCTCTGCTTTTATAGTTTTTCCCCCTGTAGTAGCTATCTCATCTTAAAGCACTGTGGACAGAAAACGTGCTTCAAACGGTACCAATATTTTTAAAATTTACCAAGGCTTCATTTGTGGCCAAATATGTGATCTATCCTGAAGAATGTTCCACGTGCATTGAGGACCAGCATCAGTCTTTACTGAGGAGCGGAGTCAGTCTTTACTGAGGACTAGAATCAGGCTTTAGTGAGGACCAGAGTCAGGCCTTACTGAGGACCAAAGTCAGACCTTTCTGAGGTGCAGAGTCAGGCCTCACTGAGGTTCAGAGTCAGTCTTTACTGAGGACCAGAGTTAGGCCTTATTGAGTACCAGAGTCACTTTCGCAGTTCCAGAGTCAGGTTTTACTAAGGACCACAGTCACGCTTTACCAAGGACCAGTGTCAGGTTTTACCAAGGACCAGAATCACGCTTTAGTGAAGACCATATTCAGGGTTTACTTAGGCTCACAATCCAGCCTTTTTCGGACCAGAATCAGGCTCTACACAGGGCCAGAGTCAATTTTACTGAGGACTAACTGCAAACTTTACTGAGTTTCTGACTCAGACTTACTGCGGACCAAAGTAAAGGTTTACTCAGGACCTGAGTTTTTCTCAGGCCCAGTGCAGACTTTATTGAAGACTGGAGTGTATCTCGCTTTCAAGCTGTACTGAGGACCACAGTCCAGCTTGCCTGTGGGTTGCAGTCACACTTACTGAGGGCCAGACTGAGGCTTTATTCAAGACCAGAGTCAGGCTTTACTGAGGACCAGAATCAGGCTTCACTGTGGACCACAGCCAGACCTTACTGGGGACCACATTTGAGCTTCAGTAATGTCCAAATGAGGCTTTATTGAGTACCGGATTGGGTAAGGCCTGAGTCTGGTCCTCAGTAAGGCCTGACTCTGGTCCTCATAAAGCCTTCTGTGCTCCTCAGTAAGGCCTGACTCCGGTCCTCAGTGAACCTGCCTTAAGCCCGATTCTCCTCCTTACTAAATCTCTCCAGACCGAACTCCCCTCTTACTGCGGTCCACACTCATGCCTGACTGTGGCCCTCACTATGTCCTGAAGCTGTTCGTCACTGCAGACCAGCTCTGGTCCTCACTAACAGCTTCCATCTGGTCGTTGTGAATGTCTGACTCTGGACCTCACTGTGGCCTGAATCTGGTCTTACTAAAGGTAGACTCTCATCCATAATAAATCCTGAATCTGGTCCTCACAAAACCCGCAGTCTGGTCCTCGCTAAAGCATTGCTCTTATCTCACGAAAGCCAGACTGTTAGTCTATACTAAAGCCTGACTCTGAGGCAATATAGCCTGTGGTACTCATTACAGCTTCAACTGGTCTTCGTAAAATTTACTCCAGTCCTCACTAAAGCCTCAGCTTAGTTCAGTCACTCAGGCGTGTCTGACTCTTTGCGACCCCATGGATTGCAGCACGCCAGGCCTCCCTGTCCATCACCAACTCCCGGCGCTTACTCAAATTCTGGATGGACACCGACTGTCCATCCAGTCGGTGATGCCATCCAACCATCTCATCTTCTGTTGTCCCCTTCTCCTCCCGCCCTCAATCTTTCCCAGCATCAGGGTCTTTTCCAATGAGTCAGTTCTTCACATCAGGCCAAAGGATTGGAGTTTCCGCTTCAGCATCAGTCCTTTGAATGAATATTCAGGACTAATTTCCTTTAGGATGGACTGGCTTGATTTCCTTGCAGTCTAAGGGATTCTCAAGAGTCTTCTCCAACACCACAGTTCCCAAGCATCCATTCTTCAACACTCAGCTTTCTTTATAGTCCAACTCTCACATCCATAAAAGCCTCATTCCTGCCCTAATGAGTTGTCTCTGGCGCCTCCTAATGGCTGACATTGGTCCTAAATAAAGCCTGAGTCAGGTCCACACTGAAGCCTGACTCTGGTCTGTCCTAAAGAGTGAGTCTGGTCCTGTATGCAGAGCCTGTCTCTGGTCCACACAATCCTGACCCTCATCCTCAGTAAAGCTTGCATCTGGCCCGCACTAAAGCCTCACTCTGGTCCTCGTATAGCCAGATATTGGTCCACCATACATCTGAACCATTATCCCCAGTAGTCTGACCTAGTCTTCAGTACTGTCTGACTCTGAGCTTTTCTAACGCCCGACGGGTCCTGATTAAAACCTGCTATATTCCCCCGTAAAGACGGCTCTGGTCCACACTGCAGCCTGTGGACCTCAGTAATGCCTGACTCTGGCCCTCACCGAAGCCGGACTCTGATCCATGTGTGGTGTGCTTAATCG